AGGGAGATTTCGGCAAAAAAACTAGGGAATAAAAGAGAATCACCTGACAACGCTGTATTAACTTAATCGTACATGGATATTTGAACATTTGCATTTTATATAAAATCAATTTAGTTTTTAATTGACCTAATAATCCAATATTTTAATGTAGGTTAGTGTTTCGACAAGATTGTTGAAGCACACTTGCAAAAGTACCTGTTACATATTTTTCGAATTAAAACAATTAGGTGATAAAATTAATCACTAAAGTACTAACACTTTTGTGTTACATGCACATATGTGTAGACGTGTAAACATGCGCTCATTTTTCAAGATTTACAAACAATTATTATTGGGTGTAATACTGAGATGATTGCGATATCATCATCATCATAAATTCCAAAAAGACGTAAATGTTGTAATTAAAAAATAATAGTTTTTCTTGTAATTGTTTTCTTACGTAAATCCACCGTATTACGTCTTAGAAGTGTGTATTAGTGTGAAACCGCATTGACGAATGAAAAACGAAATAACATTTTGTATAAAAAGTAACACTTTGTATAACGTAGAATACTGATGGAGACCTACGTAATTAACCTATACTTTTAATTAATATTCACGCAAATATTTCAGAAGTACGTCAATTCAATAATTATTTGTTATAGATAAAGCAGATTGACGATAATAAAATTAAATAACAGTAAAATATTTATTGTGCAAAACATTTTATATTTCTTTTGTATGTATTAGGTACGTATGTACAAGTACCTATAATATGACCCATAAAAACAGATGTTGCGCAATAAGTCCTTAGAGAAAGAAAGAAAAACAAGTTATTTTAGGTGTTTTTTTATTTTTCAAGATAATCTCCTTTTAGCTTTATATACTTTTTAAAACATAAGATTTTGAAGAGTCGTCAAAATGGGCATCTGTGTGTGCGATGACCTCGTTCAACGTGAACCGACGTCCACGTCATTTTTCTAATTTGGAAATAAAAAAGAGTTACTGAGGGTCACATCCGGTGAATACGGCGGATGATGCAATAATTTAAACGGTCATTCTATGATGGAAACTGTACAGGTGTGCACCCGTGCATTCTCTTGACGGAAGAGGGTTTTTTCATTTCCCAAAAAGAGCGCTTTGTTTTTATTTCTTCTCTCAACCGGCGCAATAACGACACAATACTCTCCAATTATTATTGTTTCTTTTTCCAAGTAACTGGTGTAGATGATTCCGTACTCATCCCAAAAAATCGTGGCCATCTCCTTACCGGCTGATTTTACCATCTTTGCGTTCTTTGGAGCCCGTTGGCCATCAAAAACCCACTCCTTTATCTCTAGATTGTAGCGGTGTAACCATGTTTTGTAGGATTCGGAATTTTCTTTAGAATCCAATTGGGTACTGGATAGTGATACCGGGTAATTCTATGGAAGTCTATAAGAAATAGACTAGATAAGTTGGTAGAACACCTTTTCAGGCACGGAGGGCTATTCAGAGACATATTAGAAGCAGAAGTAGGAGTTAAGAGGAGTAGAGGCAGACTTAGATTAGACTACTACTGTTCTAGTTTTAGGAAAATGCGAAAATTTGCTCAAAATAGGAAAGAATGGAGGTACGTGTCCAACCAGTCTTAGGATTGATAACCTTATGATGATGATAACAAAAAATCTACCTGATAAAAATTGGTAATTAAGATTGTATTAGAATAGATCGTTTATCCTTATTTCTATATGTTATTGATTACTATATATTTTTGGTATATAGTATGTTTTAATTAACAATAATTTATTTTGCAAACATTATGGATTCGTTTCAACGGTTTCAGTCAACCATCTCATAAATTTTGTCACTTCCACCGGACGTCCCGAACGATGTTCACCTTTTTAGACTCATTCACCCAATTGTAAACAGTTGCAAACACAAGAGCAGTTGTGCTCTGAAATTTACCCAATTCAGCTTTGATCTTCTTCAATGTTAACTCTTTTAAATATAAGTTTTTAATCATCTCGCTCGAAACTCACTTTTTCCTAATTGCCTGTACAAACAAAAGTGTTTTGCTTAAATCGACATTAAGAATGAAACCACGTGGTGCGACAAATGTCTAGTCTACTAAGTCACCCTGGATCCTTTTGGACTTTCTAAGGATTTACTGAGCAACCCTTGTACATCGTATACCCGATTTAAAACTCAATGATTGCTATTAATAATAAATAAACGTCACAATAACCGTAATAAATGGAATAAAATCATAATAATAATAACATTCCGTCTTCCACATTAATTAATATAAACTACCTTAATTAGGGAGCATATAACTTTTAAAACAGTTGGTAGATATTCTCACCCACAAATTAATTCGATAATGAATTATTCATGTACGGATACCTTATCTCTGTTCTTCATATTTCCTGTTGCAAGTTTGCATAATATAATGAAGGAACATCAACTATTATAAAATGCGTATATTAACAAACCGCAAGTAATAATGTAACTACTAGAGGTCATTTATTTTTTTTAAACAAACTATTACATTATCAATGTATCGAGTATATTTCAATTGCGCTTATGTATGTGTAAAACGTTAATGGGTTTCATAACTCCCGCAAATTTTTGTAGATCTGCCATTATCAATTTACAGAAGTACCTACAAATTACCTACCAAATTATTGTTGACTTCCTCGTATTTCATTATTATCGTACTTAACACCCACACAGAAGAGCAGACAGACGTTCTACGGACAATTTATTTATAGAGGCATATCCAAATGATACGTGTGTATGTATTGAAATGACCTTTAGCTGTAGGTCAAGGTTCTGAATGTTAAAAAATATAATAAATACATGTATCAATGGCACCACCTATTACGCACAGCTGTTTACTACAACCAAAACATTGAGCGATGATGATATCAGGATTAATTAATCAGCAAATATTAAAAATTGTGACAAAACTTTGATCCAAATAATATTAATGTGACGGTCATTTATTTTAATCATTTCGGAGGTCATCAAACTTTTTTTCGTGGTTTACGCAAACGTAAAAAATAATATGCCGTCAATCGAAAAACGGATAATTAGGAAATAAGTAAACTGCAATAATTATACATGGTTTCCATTTACAAATATAGATTATTATCGCACTTTTTGAGATTTCTTAAATGGCGCAAATTCATTTGTAATCTTCTTTCTGGCTCTTTCATACTTCCTAAGCCAACTGACCATTGATGATGTGTCGATAAAGAAGAACAAAACGTTTAGAAAACAAGCACATCATAAGCTACAACAGAAGCTTCCGTAATGATACTTTCAAAAACTAAGTACAGCCAAACCTTCTGAATGTTCAAGTTAATGAAAATTCGAGTTAACTTCTTAATTTTTGTTTCGAACATATATTTAGGTACTGGTGCTACACTGCTAATAATCCTAACAATCCTGGATAGTATAAGTACTTCGATCTGGTTGTCTTTCCCTACCATAATCTTATGATTCTAATCGCTTTTTATTCAATTTTTCATAATATAATATTGAGTGTCACAGTGAAAATTTATAATAGTAAAACTAATCCCGCTTAAAGAAAATATTTACAAGTTACGAAAAAAATCGAAGCCATCAAAAGTTTTTTAGCCTTACTACCTAAAGCAACAACCGATTTTGTCCTTGGCTAGAGGCAAGGATATTAGACCAATATATGGATGGTAGACTGCTTGAAAATGTCCACAATGAGGGCGAGCCTTACGGATGACGTCTATCATCATCAAGGATATTATCAATTCCGTCATTTGCAAAAGTGCTTACGAGATATCGTCACGTAAAGTTAGGCCCGCCTTCTGTGTGAACGTAAATGGGCTCACAATTTACAACAGGAGTGTGTCATCGTATAATACTGTCCAATCCTGTAGTCCACAGGGATTTATCAAGGATACAAGTATTTAATATAGTAATGAAACTGTACCAGCAAATATAAATAATTTCTTTTTCGAGTTCAACAATTTTCATTTTTTTGTCTTTGAAGGACTATTTTTTAAATAAATCCCAAAAGGTTATATTCCAATATAAATTAAAATAACATCCTTATTAAGAACTTCTAAGCCCTATAAAATCCTGTAACTATGGTCGAAATTGGTTTTCAAAGAATAAAAACCTCATATTTGTATTGATTCTTTGCATTCGTAGAGCAAGGAGAAGAAAACTAAAATGTTTTTAAAAGCTACACAAAAGCTTCTGAGAACTCAATTGTCAAAAAAAAAAACTAAAACTTATAATTTGTTTTTCTATTTGTATTTTTTAAATAAACCCCAATAGGATGTATTCTGAAATAAATTTAAATAACAACCTTATTAAGAACTTTATAGCTCCCTTAAAATCCTGTAACGTGTAACCTCGTATTGTATTGATTCTTTATATTCATAGAGGAAAGAGAAGAAAACTAAAATGTTTCTATAAGCTACATAAGAACTTTTGATAACTTAATTGTCAAAAGAAACTAAAGTTAATTTAGAAGTTATTATTTCTTAAAACTACAATGAGTATATATGTATGAATGAAATTGGGACTACGTTGTCATGTTTTAAAATGGTGATTTGGATATGCCTAATTTAAAACGAAAGGATTCACGAAGGATACAATGCACATGTCAATTACGGAATAAAAAGGTGCGCTGTAATTAAGATTCATTAGAACATAAAAAAAATAGTGTTCTGCTCATTACAGCAATTTTCAACGCATTCAAATGGTTTTACTACGCCTTTGAAAAACAATTTAAACTATAAATTGTACCTACTTTGCAACGTGTTGCTAGTGAAGGTATATTACTTTTTTAAATCGTTACAATAAGCTTCACGTTGACTATTTTTTATTAATCATTATCTATAAGTAGATGTATATATATATATATCAGTATTCGCTTGAGTTATATAAATATACAATCGATTAAGGTTTAAATAAACAATTTACAAAGCGGTAGTCTATCGGCTATTTAATTTTTAGTGAGTTAAATAAACAAAATTGCAGTGGATAGTTTTTTTTTTATTAAAAGAGGGTGAATGTGCAATTTTGAAATTTATAATTTTTTTTGTGAACGCCCTGTATAATGCGAGTTTGATATCCCAAGTGCATCGCAGGAGGTGCGATAATTTTCCAACGAAAAATTATAGAGGAATTACCTGCGAAAAGTATGTCAGACAAGTTATTTTCCATTTTACATGGTACATTAAAGGAAATCCTTATCTGAGATTAACAAATTATTTATTTATGTGCATACTGTACATAATAGTTTGCTGCTGGGTTGTACAATTTCACAGATATAAATAAAAAAAGACGCGCACATAGTGTTCAGTGCTTTACTCGAAAACCACCTTGACAAGAGGGGGGGCGTCATCCAAATTCGACAGAATTTTTGTTTTGTAAACCGCCGCTAAGCGGTCGAAGGTCGTTTCTAGTTAACTGTAATTTTGATCATAAAAATCGTACATAAATAAGATATCGTCCAGTATTTTAGCAATGATAACAAATTAATTCGGTCAAAATGGATCTTGCTCTAATCACCGTTGCTTTCGTTCTCTCGCTGGGGTAACAATAACACATAAGATACCGTGAAGCTCGAATCATTCTGACGTTTCGTTTTATTGTAGAACATCCTCCTTCGCTTACAATTACACTTTTCCGGAAGGATTCTTGTTTGGGACAGCCACATCTGCCTATCAAGTGGAAGGAGCCTGGATTGAAGGTGGTAAGTTATTTTATATAAACTAAGACTAAAACACCATTTATTTTTCATTCACTTGTGAATGCCGTGACTTCCTCAGAACATAAAATAGATTCAGTTATTCACACAATAGTATTGACAACAAATGTTTCGGATTTATAAAATTGACCAGCACCACTTGCGAGATAACCCGAATCATTATCAGCCAATAAATTTAAATTGCTTAAGGGGATTTATAATTAAAATTTGATAGTTGTATACACTTGTTAAAATAAAACAATTTTAGCGTAAAATATGCATGTACTAGTAGTTGTTTAAAGTTTCATGCAATTACACACTTCTTATTGGTATTTTTTAAACACAATGTAACACCGATTTCTTATCAACCATTTTCTATATATACATATCTACTAGTGCAATAAACAATAAAGTTGTTTACAATTTGTTTGGTTAAACATTACATTTTTTATGACCAAATGCTTGATGAAAAATTGAAGCAGCTTTATTGTTTGTTTGTTGGCTATTACAATAATGCATGTACTTAAAAGAAATGCATTATTGAAAAATAAAAATAATTTATTAAATATAACAATTAACCTTATCAAAACAAATAAACGTAATCGAAAACAATTGGTTCCAAAGAGATTAATGTGCGATCATTGTTTATCTTATTCATTACCGCCAAATATTAGGCAAAGCTTTTCATCCTAAATAAAATGTACTACACGTACTTATAATTATGAATAAGTGATTTTTGCTGATATATTGCTACTTATTTTTTCTTATACTAAAAAGTTTTAATATAAAAAATTGTGGTTGTTTGACCATGAAATGAGAAAAAGCTCACTGTGTTACATAAACCTTTTCTTAAAATCTCCTGTAAAATGGAATATATCTATACATTTCGTAAACCTTGAATAACTGCATAGCTATTCCCTAAATAAAATTACTCTCAATTATTAATTGAGTCAGCTATTTAATGTAATTTCAAAATTCTAGATAAGCAATTGAAAGTAAATCAGCTAGCATTTTGTAACAGGTTCTTTAATTATTATTTTTACAAGTGTATTTTAAAGTATGTAGTTATTAATTCTATTTGTATAAAAAAGCAAGTCCGTTCTTATATTACGTTAGATAATGTGCAACATTGAATAAAAAGTAAAATGGTTAATTATATGTAGGTGATATTATTATTCTTAATAAATTACTTTTGAAATTATTAACCTCCGTTTTAATCAAGCTGTTGTCGGTAATGATGATAATTTGTTTTTTAATCTGAATGTAATTAATTTATATTTAATCCACTTACAGTAATGTTTTGTAAGTATTGAAGAATTTTCGTTTATTTATCCATTTTTTTTTTGTTGGATATATGATAATTGCCTTATTATCGTATTTATAGGAAAAGGAGAAAATATATGGGATAGATTAACACATGAAAGACCTGATTTAATATTGGATCAAAGTAACGGTGATGTGGCATGTGATTCCTACCATAAGTATAAAGAAGATGTGGCGATGTGTGTGGAATTGGGTGTACAATTTTACAGATTTTCGATTAGTTGGCCTAGAATTTATCCACACGGCTTTTCGTACAACTTAAACAAAGAAGGCCTTCTTTATTACAGTAAACTAGTTGACGAATTACTTGCCAACGGCATAATCCCTGTGGCAACAATTTATCATTGGGATATTCCGCAGGCCCTTCAAGATTTAGGTGGCTGGACTAATCCGTTAGTTGTTAACCATTTTGTTGAATATGCAAGGGTACTGTTCGATAATTTGGGCGATCGTATAAAATACTGGATAACAATCAACGAACCCTCCCAAATTTGTCAGGAAGGATACGGAAACATGGACAAGGCACCTGCTCTTAATCTATCAGGCATTGCCGACTACTTATGTGGACATAATTTATTGAAAGCTCATGCAGCGGTTTACCATCTTTACAACGACACGTACAGAGAAAGTCAAAATGGTAAGTAAATTATCTTATCTGTATCAATGCACAAATTTCATTTTTATTTTAAGGCTTACAAAGTATAAGTTGAAACAGTTTGTCCTTGGATTACACGCATCCTATAAATATTCAAAGGGTCATAACGTAGATATTTCTTAATACCATTACCTTTCATTTGTACAATTGAATAATTCTTCTTTTGCAATTGGTATTATTAAGCCAAAGTGTTATAACTATTACGTAGTATTAATGCGTTAATAGCAACTTAAAGAATACCGTGTATACTTTATTCAAATCGATATTGGACTGACGTAAGCTGTACTTATACTTAAACGCATTACTTTTCTGTTTTCAATTTCTGCAAACCAGATGATATGTAAATCTCAAATTCAATTGTTATGATCGATAGTTACGACTAAATATTCGCTTTATTTATAAGGATCAACTTATTTAAAAATATCGTTTGCCTTTATTTAGAAATGCTACAAGGATATAAAGTTTGTTGACTTCATCATTCGGGGTAGTTTCTGGATAAATAAATTACATTTTTAAAATTCTTCTTTTATTAAAGATTCCATGCTACGTCATAAGCATTGCGAATAATACACTGCTTTTCATAATGCATTACAGTTTTATTACCCATTACTTTTGTAATGAGGCACGGAGAAGGTTTACATTAACCATTACATTCTTTTAGAGTAATGGGGATACTGCGCGAAGAAAACTAAATTTTTATGATAACGCAAAAATAGGTAACTTGTAATAATCTCAATATTGACATGTTTCTTTAAAAATAACTTCAAGTTTCTTAATTATTACAATTAAATTTGTAATATCAACTAAAATACCTAGTAAACTTATTTCTGCTGGGATTTTACTTTTACAAATTCGGGTCCAAATTGTAATTTTTATTATTTTCGCTTACAAAGGAACGGGCTTGTGGGGTAAATTGTAAATATCCCTATAATATTTAGGTAAATAAATATTGTCAATATTAATTACAAAAGCGATGGATTATATAAACTATTTACACTAATATTTTTATAACTCTGCATCGCCAGAAATTTTAAGTCTATTTTATTGAGAGAGATGTAGAAGTAATAAAAACTATAAAAGAATTTCAAGAAACAAAACAGAACTTAATTTGAAATATTGGTAAAGAAAATCGTTCAAGAGGAGTGAATTCTCATTTTTTTTTTGTTAGGAAGAGATTTAATTTTTTGTTTAAAGGGGGTGAAGGGTCAGCGACATCTTTTGCGAGGGTAAAGGGATGATTTAGAAAATTCTTTTTTTTTCTCTACCACATAAAATTATGTTAAAACCCATAAAGGAATTATGACATTTCAGTTGAAATAATATTTGAAAAACGTTTGTCCCCGACCGATAAACTAATTTACATTTTGGGAGCTGACCTGATCCTTGCTCCATGTATCCATATTTCAAAACACTACGTCATGTACATATATAGTTAAAAATAGTTAAAAAAAAGCCATGTGGACCATTGCAGTTCAGATTTACTGATACCTACGTAGGCATTGAGCTAGATTAATAGATAATAATTGTAAACTCTTCAATTTTAATAACAATAATATCGTATTTAATAAACCATTTACCGTAAACAATCTCAAAACGAAATCAATCAACAGTTATCTACATGGAAACGATAAAAAGTTTCTACTACAATATTGTACCGTTTATGTAGGAAACTTGACCTTGTAGTCGATTTTATCGTTAAAAATATCATGGTGTTGTTTTAAGGAACGGTTTAATACATATTCAGTTACTTTACTTTTTTCCAAAAATAAAAGTGTTATAAAAAGTATTAAATACTAATATATCATTCGCTTTCCTTTCACTTATAAGATAAGAAGAGAATCAATTTTTAATTCAATACAAATAACGTATAAGTGATAGCTAAGAAGAAACAATTAAAAACATTCTTCTATTATTAATGTAAACATTTAAAATAAAATATATAGTTTTATTTGTTTATCTCAATAATGTTTCACAAAGAATAAGTACTTGAGTTTTAAAAAAGACATTAATCGTGTTTTTTTTCTGAAAATCATCAAGGCACAGTTGGCTTTACCATAAATGGTGTTTGGTATGAAGGTAATTCAACTTACGATGACGATGCTGCAGAGAGGATGATGCAAATGTATGTAAGTATCGTAATTAGCATCTTTTGTTCTAATTTTTCAAGATTTCGCGCTACCCTAAACAAACAAAAGCTTTACAACATCACTTACCTGTTTGACAACCTGTCCATGTACGTATATAACAGATAATTTTCTCAGAAAGCATGTATTATTTGACATATCAGTACATTTTATTTATTATCTTACATATTTTGCACCAGTTGATTTTGATAATTGTTTACATATTCACACCACGCCGGTAAAGGTTAGATGTTGCAGGGGATGATAAAGGGCGGTTAATAATGTACATTCCCGTTGAAATTAGTTGTTGGCTAAGCGTAGGGGTATAGGGGATAGGGGTAAACGATACACCTACATAAGTAGTAATTGTATATATGAATTGATCGTCGGTTACAATTTCGGAGGGGGTGAAGGTGGTGGAAATGGTCTCATACAAAAGTAAACAAGTGTTTTCAGATGGGGTGGAGGAGTGGGAAGCAAAATTTACTTTTTAATCTACAAAGAGTTTTAGGTTAGATCGAGTTGGGTTAGTTTCTTTCTGAAGTTACCGATTTTTGTCCGGCAACTCTCCGCCTCATTGAAAGCCCTATTTCAGTATTGTACAAGGTCATTCCTACCACCTCCCCACACTAGCTAACCGACGCTTTCCTCATCTAAACAATTAAAATTTCCAATTTTCATCTTAACCTCTGCGCCTCATCGAATTAGCCCGATCCATTTGGTGTTATACAAGGTAATCTCCCTTCTTCATCATATTTTCACTCTCCCCCCCCCCAACCGAGGCAGTGCTTCCATATTCTAAATTTAAACATTTATCCCCAACCCTCAATATATTTTTACCATTCCTCGCCCCACGGGGTGTAATTTTGTAAATCAAGAGGCTTATCATGAGAAATACAAAAATATTTTCTATGATCTTGAATAATTTGAAAAAAGAAAACAGGGAAACTACTTATAGCAAAAATTCTTGATCTTATATATTTCTAAAATACAATTTTACAAAAAATAAGTATTATATATGAGATCGACTGCAATGTAACGTAATTATTATTAATGCAAAGTTATATCTTTTCAACATGTTTATACCTACAGTTAATGCATTTGATAAGATACGAAACAGTGGGCACGCGAGTCAAGAACTCACACTTGACAGATTTTTTGTGATAACTATAAAAAATTATCAGTTATTAATCAATTATATTGGAATTTCTCTGTTAGTCTCTGTATGAAAAAGGGCGTTCCTTTTTCTTTATTAATTAATTGATAGGTACAACGTAATTGGCATACAATCGACATATTTGATCGTTTTTTAAGGAAATGAGTTTCATCGTATTTTAAAACATTATGATTTAATTCCATAGTTTGGTTGGTGGGCCCATCCAATATTTTCTAGTCAGGGCGACTATCCCCCAGTGATGAAAACTTTCGTAGCAAGGAAAAGTGCAGCCCAGGGTTATAGAAGATCACGGCTACCGGAATTTACTCCGGAAGAAATAGAATATATTAAGGGCACAGCGGACTTTATGGGACTTAACTTTTATACTGCAAGAAAGGCAAAAGGCGCCGAATATGACGGTTTAGAGGTGTCTTATAGTAATGATCATCAGGTAGAATCATGGATTGATAGAGACTGGCCAATGACTATAGCTCCTTGGTTCGGGGTAAGTGGAAGCTTTTATTACCTACACCTATTAGAGAAAAACCGGATCTTGTTTTTGCCGGGCCCCGGATAATCGGATACCCCACAAAACTGCTACAACTAATTGCTCATGTCTTCGTTCTGGCAGGCTATCCATTAAATAGCACCCTTACCAATGTCCCAAACCACCTTAAGTCCCGTTGAAAAACATTAAACCAATGAAATTTCAATTCTTGGTTGACGGATTTTTAACGAAAAACTGTTGATAGGGGCCTCTTATGTTTATAAACATTAAAAGTGACAAAATCGTATAATAAGTTGACAGACACTGTAACAGTTCGGCCATTGTGAAATAAACACCCCGTATAGAAATTATTTCATTCATAATTTTAATAAATTGAAAACAAAATGTACTTGAAACTGATTAGAACTTTTACTTGACAGTAACGACTCCGATTAATTATTTACTTTATTATCTAGTGTAATAGCGTTATTAAAGAAATTATTAATTTTCCATAGGAAATAAAAAGATAAATCGTTCGATTGCTAATAAATAAAGAAATAAATAAATATCATTATGCTGTTAACAGGCGTGTTTTTACTTTGAGATATTGCAGCAATGGCATTGTAAAGTTTAATAATGGAATTAAATAAAAAACTGATTGCTTAATATTACAAACAGAAGATAATAAAGGTCGCGTTTTTCAACTGATAAAAATTGGATTACCTGTTAAAGTTAATGTTAATACGAAAAAGTCCTAGTGCGTTATTATTTAAGATTGGAGTGCGTGATCATCAGGGTTTGCATGAAGCAATCAGATCAATACGGATTAAAATTAGTAACAGTTGATAGAAAAGTTGGTATTTATCTAGAGAGCTGAGAACGTCAATAATAATTTTAATACCGATATTTCAAACTAACTAATAGAAAGTATTCTAATAGGGCTGATATGATATAAAAGTTCAATCAATTTTAAAAGTAAATGTTAAATGATAGTGACTAGTATTTCAGGCTCATATTTGTTCATTGATCAGGATTCGTTCCAGGATTGTAGGTTACCTACATTGTTTTCACTGCAGTGTATTATACGTAGGGTAAACGAAAGCCATGATCAATTTGGTATGTTTATGACATACATATGTTCCACCTTATTTGCCTGTTGTAATATGCATATGGCAATATGAAAGAGGATACGTGCAGTATGTCGATGAATAATTGGTCCACGAGTGCCTAATCTTATAAAATGCCATAATACTAATAGCAGTACTAATTATGAAAAATAATTGAATTCAAAAATTTTACTATTTTATAGATTAACCCACTGGGTTTCCGAAAGCATTTGAACTGGATTAAGGAAAGATATAACTCTCCTGATATTTACATTACTGAAAATGGTTATCCAGATGCGGGCGAAATAGATGACTTTGATAGAATCGATTACTATAGGGTAAGTTCAACTTTTTTAAGCAGTAACTGGTGTAGTATCAAGCTTGTTGCATACATCGTCTAGTTTATAAAATGCAGAGGATTTTATACACACTTCTGGAAAATAACGAGTTTCGGAAAAACATTCAACAACTCTATAATATTCTACATGATGCTCCCGTAAAGGTTGAAGTGAATTTTTAGAAGCCCAGCAATATAATATTTACAAATATGCTACTTATATCTTTGAATGCGTAAAAAAATTTTTAGACCCTTTTATAACTATAATTTACTGAAAATTAATATAAAATTAATACCGAAGGAAGTATCCTGGAGTTGTATATATCTAGGACATTCATTCTTGTTTTGAAAAAAAGAACTCTAAATTAGTATAATAGAAAAATTAAGAATCTTTTTGGTTTTATTACTTTTCTATTTTCAGGAACATTTAAAAGCAATGCTGGATGCCATTTACGAAGATAATGTAAATGTTAGAGGTTATACAGCCTGGAGTCTTATGGACAACTTTGAATGGATGTTTGGATATGCGTAAGTTTTTTTACATTTCTTTCTGTTTATGTATATGTATATTTATAGGTAATTGCTATCGGTCAGAATATTTTTTATGGTTTATATTGTTGTAGGCATCGATTTGGATTGTATTACGTCGATCTTACTGATCCTCAGCGACCAAGAACCCCCAAAAGATCTGCACTCTATTATAAAGAGATCGTCCGTACCAGACAACTCACCTATGAAAAATTGAAATAGCTTTCATTAACGAAGTATTTATATCCGCTAAGTATTGAAGTTATTTATTGTTATAAGATAAACATAGTATAATAAATAAAAATAAAGCACTTTTTTAAAAATTACACGTACCTGGTTTTTCATTTATTCTAACATATAAAAAAAAAAACGCAGGACTAAGTGTTATACTGGACAAGAGATTTCAACTTCATCCCAAACATGAACAAATTTTATGAAAACATGTTCGGAATGTTCGTAGGTTATGATCGAGACTAGCGTTGTAACAAATGTTCCCCATTCGCCTCCGCAACTGTGGAAGATCCGCAAAATTTATATTGTAGTATTCTGCATCTACATTAAGATCAAATTGTAAAAAATCCGCATTTTTATCCGGATCCGCGTATATTTTATAAGGATATTTGCTGTGTTACATACAATCCTCGTTCGCATCCGCAAGCTTAATCTTACTTATCCGCTGAAGAACATCCGTTGCAGCCATAATCAAAACAGTTTGTAGAATTTGTCGTAATCAAGACGTGATGTAAGCGTGGTTTCTACGGTAAACGTATACGTAAAAACGTAGAAAAATGTTTTAGGAAGAGAATCGGAAAATAGCCTCTCACGGAAGAAAATTACTGGAAAATTTTGAGACCTTACAGCACGCAATGTGCCTTATAAGTCAAAACAATTTCAGGCTACCCTTTGTAGTAACATTAATTAGGTAGTACCTACGTATATTAAAATATTACAAAAATTATAATCTCTATTAGATAATATTTTTAAAAGTATCTAAGACAATTTTTGGAAATAATTATAAACGATTAATTATTACATTTTAATTTATATTAAACAATTTAAAACCATTAAGATGATCACAATAAATAAATCTTAAAATCCTGTAAAAAATACCCGAGTGAGAACATGTATTTGTTAAGTTAGAAATTTTTGTTAAGTTTTGTATTTTTCTAAATCCTATAACAATGTAATCTTTCTAAATTGTAATAAATCATTGCTCTTGACAATTATATACGTTTGACGTATTTTCGCTAATAGACAACTACCATTCATGCAACCTTACGCAACGGTTGCTCGATAGTTTCGGAAACACAGAAAACATACATCAAATCAATTTTGTTTTTCTTTATTTCATCCAGATGAAGCTCAAAAAGGTACAGAAATGTAGTATACTAAATTGAATCTTTTTTTATTCTTTCTGCACACAGTATATTTTCGGTATATTTATTCTACATTCTAAATCTTGCTATTACCGCAATTTATCTTTCTTCCCTCAGAGTAATTCGGTAATAAGTCCCTTGCCAATTCCCCCATATCAATTCCTTCAACCCTTCCGCGTATTTTTGCTTCTGTATACTCTTCATGTCTTTCTCATGTACTATCTTATAATTCATTTTCTTTACCATATTACCTGCTTCTGTTGGTTCTCTTCTCATTACCTCTAGTTGCTCTTGACTTATCATTAGTGCCTTTTCCCTCTCTTTATCAGACTTGTTCCCTACATATGGATAAACCTTTTTATAGATCTTTTTAAGAACCACAATTTTCGTCTAGATACATCGTTTATTAAAAACGCATTTTACCCTCTTTTTTCGACTTATACATTACGAAATTGGTTTCCAGAGAAAATTTATTTTAACGAATTAATCTACAGCTTATGTTTGCCCTGAAGGGTCATTGCGAATATTAATGAATGAATTTTTAAAATCAGGTGTGTAGTTTCTGAGATTGTCCGTTATATCCAAATATAGAAACTTTACCTCTTACAATATTAATACTTACAGATTATAAATAATAATAATAATAATTGAATGAATTAAAACTTCATTATTGAGCAAAGCAAATCTCAATTATATTAATTTTTTACTATTCATGATTTTAAATCTTTCAAATCAAATGATGCTTAAGCATCACTATAATTCATTTTTGTCAGTGGCAATTCTCTTGTGGATAATGTTTGTTTTCGTTTTTGATATCAAAACAAAATCACTTATAAATATTTTTCCCTTTAATCTGCCCATCCACTGTGCTACAGATAAAATTCAAACCAGTATTTATCTAATCTCTTAAGCGCATTGCTTTAAATGATTCGGAAACTGATCGGATTGCAGTAGATGAGTATCATTGATCAACATGTTCAGTGTCTTCACCGTATACTTTCTTGCCCATCTTGCAGTTTTTCCCAGGTAAGCCGTTTCTATTATTATATGCATAAGTGACGGATTAATTGTATAATTGTAATTGTTTAAGAGGGTGCTGGGCAACAAATTACACCTTTCCTGATGATTTTTTGCTTGGGGTAGCAACATCATCTTACCAAATCGAAGGAGCATGGAACGAAAGTGGTAGGAAATTTTAATTATTACAAAAAATCACATCTGTAACATTCCTTAAACTTTCGCGGACAAATTATCAACGCAAATTCTAATAAAACGTTATTCTTTTGTTTCGTATCAACTTACTATCCTCGAGAATATCTTTATTCAAATTCAAGTAATATCAAAAGGTTAATATTATTTAATTCAAAAATGCTCTTAATAATTTTAAGGAAAAGGTGAAAACAGCTGGGACCATTTCACCCATAACAACCCAGATACTGTTATTGATAGAACCAATGGTGACATAGCATGCGATTCGTATCACAAATACGAAGAGGACATCGAACTTCTTAAGAATTTAGGGGTAGATTTTTATAGATTTTCTTTATCGTGGACAAGAATCTTCCCAACTGGATATCCTCACAATATTAATTACGAAGGCATTAATTATTACAACAAGATACTTAATTTACTTGCGGCCAATAACATTACGGCTATGGTTACTCTGTTTCATTGGGATCTTCCACAAAACCTTATGGAGTTAGGAGGATTGACAAATTCTAGGTTTGTCACCTACTATACTGAATACGCAAGAACGGCTTTTGAACATTTCGGCGATCGAGTTAAATATTGGTTAACTTTTAATGAACCATATCAAACTTGTATGTTTTCTTATGGCGGAACAAGGCTGGCTCCTGCTTTGGGAATGTCAGGGATTGCCGACTATCTCTGCGGCCATAATCTACTTAAAGCTCATGCTGCTGCTTATCACCTATATAATACGACATACAAACCAAAATACAAAGGTTTGTATGAAAATCAAGAACATGTTATAAGAAGATTATATTCGTTTATTTTCTGTTATTCAGGTAAAATCGCAATCTCAATAAGTGCTGCTTGGATTGAACCAAATAGCACAGGCGATGAGGCAGCTGCAGAAAGATTAAGACAGTTTTTGGTAATGAATAGAATAAACATTATCAAAATTATAAATGTATTCAAATCACACTATATTTTCAGTATGGTATGCATTTAAATCCAATTTTTTCATCTAATGGAGACTATTCAAATGTTGTAAAAGAGTCTATAGCAACACAAAGTTTTTTGGAGGGTTATAAACGTTCGAGGCTTCCAGAGTTTACCCAAGACGAAATTAACTATATAAAAGGAACTTATGATTTTATGGGTTTGAATCACTATACTTCACACTTAGCTGCCAATTCTCCAAGCACCAGCCTACAGACTTCATACGACAATGACTATAAGGCCACATATTGGTTTGATGATAGTTGGACTATGGATGGTTCCGGCAGTGCACGGGTAAGATTCAGTAGATCTGTTATTTTCTTTTGTTTCACTAATTCACAATTAAATAAAAATAGGAAGAAATAGCGTTATTATAGCTTTATCAGTATAATCTAAAAAGCGGATTCAAACAGCAGCATTAGGGAAATTTGATATTGTGGGTAGCAACAAATGCATTTGAGATCTAAATAACATAATGCATTAATAAAAATGTACCTTGAAAGACCTTTAAATCCAAGGCAAAACATCGGTGGTTGATTTTAAAAAAATGGGTGCGTGTACTTACGAGTATGTACGCGCGTGAGAAGTTATACTTCTTTGGCATCATTAAAAATAGAAAAATACACAACATGTCAAAATCTTCTGTCACACAATGATAAAGAAAAGACGTATGTAATAAAAAACAATAAAACAAATAACGGATGTCTTACATTATATTTAAATAATCTATTAAATTTTTGTCACGAACTTTTTATTAAATGTTCTATTAAATTTATTTCTTTATTTTGTAAATATTAAATAACCAATAATAAATATTCAACATTGATAATTTAATAATATTTAGTATTAATTATATTAAATAATGATATTTTAATTTATATCAATAAATAATACATAGGGATAACTAACCTCAATTATATTGGAGCACTTAAAAAAGTATTTTAGCACAATTTTTTCACTAATATTCACAAATAGTAAATAATATTAATCCAAATATTCAATTTAAATCACTACTGAATATATTTTATTGCCACATATATAATTCGCACTTGTATGAAAATAAAACACGTGTTGTGACTGTAAAAACTAAAACCATGTGGATAAATATTATAAATAAACATGAAAACAGTGATCAGAGGCGACAAGCGTACCAACATGCGCGACTAAGAGAGGTTTTATTTCTATTTCGTTGGTAGCTTTTTTCCGAGACTTAATGAATTCGGTTGAGTGGGCAACTTCATCCTGTTAATTTTGTGTTACAGTGATGCGCGCGCATCTTGAAATTTCACTCTCGTCAGTTTTTCATAACGCGCCTAAAGAAGTATAACTTAAAAAAAAAAATAACTTTTTTTACCCTATCTGGTTTTCATAAAATCAAGGAGAGAAATACAAGCTATAAGAACATTTATTACTTTAGGTTGTTCCATGGGGTTTCAGAAAATTGCTGGTGTGGCTAAAAAATTCGTACAATGACCCTGAAATCTTTGTAACGGAAAATGGATATTGTGATTTTGGTGACATGGATGATAGAGGAAGGGTTTCATATTATGGCGTAAGTTCAAACATTTTACTGTTACCACATTCATCGAAATAGTTGAAATTTGTACTTTATTTTATTCACCATAAACTAATTTTGTAGCAATATCTTGAAGCTCTCTTGGACGCCATTTATGTCGATAATGTCAAAGTTATTGCCTACACAGCCTGGAGTTTAATGGATAATTTTGAATGGAATCTGGGATATGTGTAAGAAATGCAAATAGTTTAAATAAAATCTATGTTTAATTAGTAATACAAAAACAGAACAAATATTTGCATTGGTCTTCTAGTACATATGACAATCCGTCACTTTTTTTGTAATACTAATTTTTATAGTATTTCTTTTTTTTTTCAGATTTAAGTATGGTCTATACTATGTGAATTTTACTGATCCCGAACGTCCTAGAATTCCAAAATCTTCAGCATATTTTATTAAATACGTGTATGGAAATAGAACAGTAGTCAGTTACGACAAGATTCTTTAAAGAATATTATTATTATTATTATTTTCTATTAATTTCTGTATCAGAATAAAGTTTATTTTTCATAAAATGCAATGAATGCACGTTTATTTTATTTATTTACCATTCAGTCTATTACACGTGTTGAGATAATAATTCATAGTTGTTTTTTAAATGGTTTTCCTCATAAAAAATATAAGTGGGTGAAATGGGCCGCGATTTTAACGTCTTCTGGGATATAAAGAAATTTTACGTTAGCACGCCCTGATAGAAGAAGATGGGGAGTCCTCTATAGAAACAAGACGTTAATACTTAGGGTGAAGTACTACACAAAAATTGAGAATAAATCAGATTTTTTTTTTTATTTTCATTGCTTAGATCAAAACTATGTTATATTACCCTTAAAAACATGACAAGGACCTTAAGTAAACTCTAAGGTTACTGTCAAAAACAAATTCAAGGTCACCACTTGACTTCCCTTGTGAAAGGACAATTGTCTAAAATTTTATCTGATGCGATAAGAACCAATTAAGGAATTTCGTCTTTTTTTGCACCAATTTTTGATTAGATTTTTAATATATATCTTTAGCAATTTAGCAGTTTGAGTTATCGACCAAAAATTCTTCTGTAAGATTTTATGTTTAGAAAATCAAAAGTATCAATTAGTTTGTTTGCTACCTTTTAGAATTCCTGAAAGGTTAACAAGTGAAAATGTTAGTTATCGTTTTCCTTTGATTTTGTGTTATTAAGTAACTCTTACGGTTAAAATAATACACCGTCTTTGATATCAATCAAATGATTAGCCAATTATTATGAAACAAACAAGGTACTTGTCGATACAAAAAAATATTGAAGGAATGTGCTTATACAGGAATAACAAAAACATCAAAAAAACGTTGCAACTTATCCATTATCAACATGTGGTTGATGTACATTGTACAACTTCCTATTAAAAACAATGCGTTGTTATTTTGTAAAACGTATTTTGTGTTTCACGTTTCATGTTTTTCTGATAAGTGAAAACAAAAAAAATGATTCTTCTGTCTGTACTGTTTAATCTTGAAATTGGACTAATCCAGGTGAATTAGCTAAAAAGTTTCGATTTTTGCTAATTCATCTGGATTAGTCCAATTTTGCATGTAAATTAGTAAAAGACACGTGCATCATTAATAAACTTGTGTACATGTTCACAAGTGTGAGGAATTATAAACAATTTCCATAATCGTTTTATAAAATTTTTAACCATGTATTAGAAAACCTTTAATTTGAGACCAATAAAAAAATCTTACCTGAAAGACGAGTTTACACACAATTAACCAGAAACAATGAAAAATAATTATTTTAAATTATGATTTTAATGATTGGATATATAATAGAAGTACACTTCCTACATATTCTCTGTGAGCACAGATCATGACGGATCTATAATGAGCATTTGTTAGCATTACGAAATTAATAATTTTTTTTAATAACTTTTATTGTTGTTCAAATAATTATTCGATAGGGATAAATATCTATAACAAAGGCTTTTTTCCTAAGATTTCCGTGCAATGGTAGCCGAATATAAAAATTGGATGCAAAAGAAATTGCCTTTTTTCAATAAATCTTCATTAATTGGGCCAAATGTATCACTTTCGAAAATCGGACTTCCTTACCCTTATCGAAAAGGTCATTCAAAGAAACATTAACATTACTACATGATTTTCATGCAAAAGTCAGATCTAATCGATTTCGATAGGACTTTACAGACATAATGAAGAAATTTTCAGAAGCAATTTAAGCTACTTTATGTTTGTGTTTGTCGGCCTCATTATGTGTTTGTTTTTAACGAGATGTGTTCAGAAGTGATTTAAGCTTTTATTAATTGTTTATTGGTTACAGGTAACAATTGTATTTTTCATAAACATTTGAAATATAATCGTACGTAATCCTAAAATGTAGCATTGTGCTACAGATGGCGTTTACTGCGCCACTGTAGTATTTTCTAAAACGTACTGTTAAGACATCAGGTAAAAGTTGGTCTGTGTTCTGTCGGAGTTGCCTGCGACGCGCTGATGAGATCCAAAAAGATCGAAATCGCGATTCGCGTCTGGCGGTTTCGACAGAATACAGACCACTTCGAATTATTTTATTTAAAATATAAATGTAATAAATGATTCGCTTCTGGCGCATGGGAAAGCTCATGAGATTTTAAAATAGCTATACATCGTTACGCAACATCACCATTTATTTATTTATTATTTTTAAAATTTAGAAAAAGAAATACATCTAAAGTGTGTTAAGTAAGATATAGGTATGCAATTTAATAATGCACATTTCAACAGTACATTTATATCTTATCACCTGTTTAATGAATTAATGATTATCATCTAAAAATGCTTCATATCAGTGAAACATTCGATATTTAAGTATATCATTCTATTTCTACAAATTAATTCAATTGTTGCAATGTGAAACACGTATTTTCTAATTAAAAAAATGCGTTTAAATAGTTTCTTGTTATGTCGGCATTGTTTGTTAAAACTGCATATCACTAGATGTTATAGAGTTCTGCAACTGTAACCAAAACTATCAGATTGGTATCTAAAATGAAAATCTACCCGAATAGAAACTGAATCTGATGTAAAATGTTCGGGTAATTTCGAATAGAACTGGAGTCTGAAATATAAGGCTAATTGTGTTATTTGTTATTATAGTACCAAATTAGGTACTTAGATGTATTTTTTTTATATATGAAATTGAAACTATAACCGTAATTATCAGATAATCCGAAACATTAATATCCCTATCCTTATCTGTAACCGGTGTAATTTTATTCATATATATCCGTACCCATATCCAGATCCAATATTTCATACCTACAACATCCCTGATTAAAATAAGAATAGAAACAAAATCATTTACATCCGATTAACCTAAAATTGTTACATAGACTTCTAACAAAGTTAATTCTCAAAAATATATCCCCCTTCAGTTGATTGATTCAAAATATGCTAAACAAAAAAACTTAATTTAATTTAACCTATTTTAATAGCTTATAGCTAGTCAAGAAGAAGCCAAAAATACACATGACTAATAATATTACTGTTTCATTAAAAACAACAATATAAAACTCATAAAATTATCTAAATCATGGTCCTGTCTGTTAGAGGATTAATTAAAGGATTCTTGAACATCAATGAAACTTCAAACAGGGAAAAACCGATTTCACTGCTGCCGAACACCTTTATAAAATGATAATCTGAATAATAAACTAAAATTTTTAAATATAGATAAATGAACATGTCAAAACGCCTGGACTTAACAGTTCCTTTACACTCCAATTACAATTATGCAGAGGATTTCGGCCGTGAAAGCTCTCCTATTTACAGTAGTCCCGCTAGTCCCTCAAAACTCCAGTATTGTTCAATGAAATATTTTGTAAATTTGTATTCGAAGTCATCGGTTGATGAAACAATTGTTGTATTATATTTTAATTTATTTTTGAAACTTTTGTGTTTGTACTACTATATTGAAAGATTACATTTTCATTGCAGATTTTGTCTTTTCGAAAAGTATTTAGTAGTCCGACACCATATAGGTATGTAGTACCTACCTGACTAATTATTTTCAAATATCTCACAAACCAATTCCTACAATTCCAAGGTGCCTACCGCATTATGAAATCTTTGATCCCATTTAGCCGATATTGGATCTCTTAGAAGATTCGCATGGTGAATGTTGAATGTGATTCAATCTGTGCACATACTGGGAAATGAATGTGCTGATCAGAGATATTAAATAGTACCGTAAAAATCTCATATCACACAGGGAGTAAATAATTCTCATAAATCAATCAAAGTTTTTTTTAAGTGCTTTACTAATGAATAGGTACGTATTTATTGACTTTAAATAGCTTATCTCTAATCTTGCTTTACTTCTAAAATTTATTTTCAAATAGTTCTAATAAATATTATTAACTGATAATGATAAAACATTGTTGGAAATAATATGGCTGTAGGTATATGAATGCATGAAAATTGTCTGTCTCCATTTTCAAGTTCCTTTTTTTTAGTTTTAGTTACAGGTGCGGACTGACTTTTATAAAAGTGTCATCATCAATAATAATGGAATCTATTTCTAAAAGAAAACAAAATCAAACAACTAAAAATAAAGTTAAAATTTGTATTTTACTATTTACTATGCATATATGGAGGAGGTGCTTACCACATTAAACAGTAATTGTGTAGTCTTTTCCAGGGTGGCGGTCAAATAATGACACAACTATATGGTTTTGGTTACGTTTCGGTTTATTCAACCATCTTCAGACTGAAAAAAATTTGTTTTCTACTTATATTTTTACTAGTTAGGTATTATACATTTGTTTGTAAAATATAAATATAATTAATAGTCAAAGAACATACAGGACTAACGAAGGAAGCTGGCGAGCGGTCGCGCAGGTACTTGCCCATTTATGACCTATTTGGGTAAGTCACTTGGAACCGATACACAAATAAGCTTTCAGTAGGCGTAAATTATAGTATTAATACAGATAGGACAGTAGCGTACTAGAAAATAATGTAAAAACATGACTTATCAAAAAGAAAAAAATTACCTATTGCTTTTGTTTTATAGTTAGTTTTCACATTCACTGTCATCATGGTAATCTCTATCACTGTCACCAACATCAACAATTAGTTCTTCTGTTTGTCTGTCTCTTACTTGCTCACTGATTCCTATTTTTAAATATTTAATCTACGCCCCTGAGAGGAATACTGAAGAATGAGGGCTGCAATCATTATACCTAAAACTGCCTACTTTTGCCACCTCGCATCCACGCCATTTTAAAATTTCCGACAGCTTCCAGCGTCAGGCCTGTACTTGAAGTGTAACTGCTTGTACATAGATGTTAATTTATTTTTAAACTTTCTATCATGCTGAACAACTGCATACTAATTCTGAATGTTTAGATAAAGCAGTAACCCACCATCTGGTTTATGGTCTTTGACCATTCATTTACATTTTTGGGTTTTTTCACATAATTTAATTTAACTTAAATTAAACAGTAATGTTTAAAGAAAGATTTTGAAATAGTCTCGGTAAATTGGCTTTATATTAGTAAAATGCAAATTTTGTTGTCAACGATAAATTTAAACAGAAACTCAGGATAATACAATTATTTATCGTTGATTGATTTTTACAATTTTCAAAAACCTAATTTAGAATCACGTCTAGAACGGAAGACATAGGAAGCATTAGTAATCCATAGATAGGAATCAGTCGATTAGATTGTTATGTTATTATATTTCTAAAACTATGCATTGCACTTGATAAAAGGTAAACTTCAAAAATGTCCTAATCTACATACTCAATTAAAAACATGAATAAAATCTAATCAGAACTCCCTGAGTTTAAAAAATGCAACCGATTATGTGTAATCATTATATAAATCCCTTGAAATGTGTGTTACCCTTCAGTGTCATTCAGAATGGGAGCTAATAGCTATACTAGGATGCTTTTAAGAATAATTATTCTAATTGGTTTGATTGCATAGTGAGTATCAGTAGATTTACTCAATATTTTTTCATTATAAGAACTAACAGCATTGATCCATCGAAAATTAATTTTTTATATATGTTATTTAATTTTAGCAAAGAATGTGCTTCAAACTACACTTTTTCTCCTGATTTCCTGTTTGGTACTGCAACATCCGCATATCAAGTTGAAGGAGCTTGGAATGAATCAGGTAATAACCTTGTATGTATTCCATTAAAATACTGTTAAATTTTATAGTTGAAAAGAGACTAATCCTGCGTCCCTACGAGTTTTTTAAGATGAATAAGATAAGATATGACGTTAATATAAAATGGTGTCATAGTTAATGATATTTCCTTGTTACCAGGAAAAGGTGAAAACATTTGGGATCACATGACCCACAACACTCCCGAATTCATTTATGACGAAAGTAATGGGGATATTATGTGTGACTCCTATCACAAATATGAAGACGATTTTGCTCTCCTTAATGACCTAGGAGTAAACTTTTATAGATTTTCTGTATCATGGAGCAGGATATATCCTAATGGTCATCCTTACAATCCGAATGCCGCAGGAATCGCATACTACAACAATCTTATTGATGGTCTTCTCGCCCAAAATATAATCCCCATGTTAACCATGTACCATTGGGACCTTCCTCAACGTCTTCAAGAATTGGGTGGTTGGACGAATCCTTTAATCGTACAATTATTTACGGAATACGCAAGAACTCTTTTGGAGAATTATTCTGATCGTATTAAATATTGGATCACAATTAATGAACCGTACCAAATATGTAATGAAGCTTATGGGGAAAATGGCTACGCTCCAGCCTTAGGCATGTCAGGTAGAGCTGATTATCTATGCGGTCACAACGTACTAAAAGCTCATGCTGCAGTTTATCATCTTTTTAATAATACTTATAGGACCAGAAATAATGGTGAGTAATTATTATTTAATTTATCGATAAAACTAATCACTGCGCTTGATTCTGAACTTCCTTCTATTCATTACTCTCATGTTCAAGTCATCAGCGAAGATGCCATCGATGAAAAGCAATGTGTATAGGCAATTTCAGAAACAATCAATTGTCAACTACAATTTTTGTTAACTGTTTCACTTCAGTACCTATAAAAAACAATTATCAGTTGCCTAAATATACCCGTAAAAATAATATAATTATAACTATCCACAAACGTGTAAGATAAATAAGAAATTTTTAAAATTCCGAAATTCCATTTAAGCTACAATGGGCATCACCTTAAGCTCTTCCTGGTATGAACCTGGTAGCTCTGAAGAAGAAGAAGCTGCTGAAAGAACCAGACAGTTCAAGGTATGTAAAAACACTTATCGCTGTAGGTAGATAGGTCATCATCATCATCATAAGGTCGTCACTCCTAAGACTGGTTGGACACGTACCTCCACTTTTTCCTATCCTCCTGACCTAATTTTCGCATTTCCCTAAAACTAGAAAAACCCACATCCTTAACTATTTGCAACAGTAATCTAATCTAGGTCTACTTCTACTCCTCTTAACTCCTGTTTCTGCCTCTAATATGTCTCTGACTAAACCTTCACTCCTGAGAAGGTGTCCTACCAACCTATCTAGCCTATTTATTATTGTCATCCATAGAGTCCCTTGTTCCTCTATTCTTTCTAATATCTCTTCATTCTAACCTTCTGTATCTACGGTATCCTCATCATTCGCCCGTAACACCACATTTCGAACGCTTCTAACCTTTTCTTTTCCGCCGCGCCCACCGTCCATGTTTCGCACCCGTAGGTAGATAGGTATAGTTTAATAATTGATGTTCGCATTGTCTAGGGGTCGAGGGAAATTTAGTTAAAGTTGGTAGCTAGACTTGACCACCTTTAACTTGGTAATGCACAATCTACTTGATTCCGCTAGCTTAAAATCGAAAATAATTTGGAGACTAATCAGGTTATCGTGGATTCTAAATACACACGTTTTGAAGAATTTTGACTTAACCTCTCTCCTTGTAAGACTCCGTAACGCTTAGCTTTACCCTTTCCCAGACGTTACGTAACACCCTAGTGATCATTTTTACCTAAAAACAATATTTTATTTTATTAAACAATTTTATTTACTTGACTCCCACCTGCTTTGTAACGCTCCATAACGCTTTACAAGAACCCCTCCCTCTTCACCTTAATTGAACGGCCCCTTAAGATTAGTGATTTTCAAAACGTCGCTGTTTTATTATTGTTGCAATTCATTCGTTAGTGAAGTCTTTACTTGCTGCGAATTTTATTGTTACTAATTTTTGCCGCAAGGCGTTCCGGAGCCGTCCATCGACCAGATAATCGGTAAAGCATAGTAAAGTAAAGTATACAATACAAATTAGTGATGTTCGCCTGAGGTAAAAATGTCGATTACAAACTTATATAGTTTCTATCTGTAACTTGGGTTAACGTTAGTATTGTGTCAGAAAATGCACATATTATACAGGGTGTTCCACCTAAGGCGGTTTCGTCTATAACTCTGTTATGATGCATTTAATAAAGTGTTTTTATAAAAGTGGTCTGGAATCATATTTTCAGTCTTACAGGGTGCTGAATTTCTTCTGGAGGCTACATAACTTTGTTATCGTAAGTGGAACACACCGTATAGTTTTACATTTTTAATCTTTTTGTTTAATTTTACAACATGCATTCGAAACTAGTACAACTGTCTGTACGCCTAAAACCACCGAACAGTCTGACGTCATAAATCGTAGTTACTGTTGGATTTGTGATATACACATCCAACCACTAAGAGTCGACTTTGACGTTTTTCTGTCCTTAACCATGACATATTTTCAAAAACAAAAACTCCGCATTTCTCTGAACTTATAAAATTTCTCTTGAATTGTTTTGTTAGTTAGGTGTGTACGCAAATCCAGTTTTCTCAGAGAATGGTGATTATCCTCAAGTAATGAAAGACTACGTTGGTAATCAAAGTGCTATACAAGGTTTCTCTAGATCTAGACTTCCCCAGTTCACTTCTGATGAAATTGAGTATATTAAAGGAACGTCCGATTTCTTCGGATTGAATCATTACAGTACTAGATTGGTGAGAAATTCACCACCAATTAACAACACAGTTTTATTTGAAAATGATATGCAAACGGAGCTGTGGATTGATCCTAGTTGGCCTATGGATGTAGTTCGTAGAGACGCCGTAGGTCCACAATTTTTTATTTGTAATTGAATTTATGACTTCAAAAACTTGTACATTTTAGATTATCCCATGGGGTTTCCGAAAGCTTTTGGCGTATATTAAAAACACATACAACAATCCCATTATTTATGTTACAGAAAATGGTTGTGCAGATAGTGGAGAATTAGAAGATTACGTTAGAGTGTCTTATTATGGGGTAAATAAGATTAAAATGATGCAAACTGCGCATAACTAACCGTATAAAAATTATATTTGTTTCGTAGTCTTATCTTGAAGCACTTCTGGAAGCTATCAACGAAGACAATGTGAATGTGCAAGGTTATGCTGCATGGACTCTAATGGACAATTTTGAATGGAGGTATGGATTAATGTAAGTATTATTAATCATTACTCCTTCATAACGAGAGAGAATTTATTTCGAAATACAATTTGTAGATACCGATACGGAATTCATTCTATCAATTTTACTGACCCGGATCTCCGAAGAACACCAAAATTATCAGCCACTTTTTACAAAAACGTTATCGCCAACAGGGCAGTTGGGGACTACCCTTCACTCTCATAAAGCTATTTATTGTTTGAGAATATATGTTTGTGGTTTTTTTAATAAAACTTATGCCTAAAATTACTTAGAACTTAGAATTTCCACGATTTAATATTTATCTTCACCAACAACGAAATTTTATTCGTTTCAAATAATCGACAAACAATAATTTTAAAAAATATTATTACATATCTCTAACTAATAACCAATAATTTAGTGGACCAATTTGTAACGTCTGTGAATACTCCACCACTTTATATTTAACACGGGAAGAAGAAGGATGATTATATACATATAAGTAAATAATCTAAAAACACAATATGCTTAAGCAATTTATCATCAATCGGTACTGGAAAGCTCATCAACGGAAACAATTCATCAAATGCACCTCATCGAATACCATTTACCAAAAATCAGTTTATAGAGGTAGTAAGTTTTTTCATCAAAACTATTTTTTAGTTCACAGTTTATCCACTTAGCGAAGTGAGAAAACAATACCATCATGATATACCTAAGATTTGCGGTACTACGTAGTATTAAAAATTAGCATTTTATCTTCATAAGCTCTCGGATCATACAATAAATAATTGTTTCCCCTGTAATCTATGTATTTTGTATTTGCTGGTTAAATAAATAAATAAATATCTGATGTCTATAGATATTTGCCAAAATTATGTTCTACCTGTAAGCGACACTTTATTACAAGCACTTGAATAAGGTAACTGTCGATGAATATTTGTTAGATGAATTGTGATTTGGCAAATTATTTTTCGGATAATTATTTTAAGTAAATTAGTTACTTTTCTTATCACACACTGAAGAAAAAATATTCGTGTATTATCAAGTACAATTTTATCTGACAATATTCTACAATAAAGAATTACTTTTAATTTTGAATTTATTTACTCTTAAGAAAACAGTATGTATACATATATATCTATACAGGGTTTCCCACCTGAGACCCCTTTCTCTATAGTGGCATTATTATTAGTTTTAGGTAAAAATGTTTCGCATAAAAGTTATCTCAATTTTTATTGTTTACTTCCCAAAATTATCCGTGAATCCACAGGGTGTCCAGTCAACTTTGTTATTTTAAATGGAACACCAACCTAAGTTAAAATTAAAGATCATTTTATTAAAACCAATGTGCCAGAAATCTTGATTGTTTTTGAGATATGAACTTTTTGAAAATTTATGTCAAAAGCAGGTTGACAATTATAAAACGAATAAAAATGCCGTTATACATAAAGGGGTCGTAGGCGGTACACCCAGTTTATATTGCTACAACAAATATTGTACATTCTTGACCGCGAAAAATCTTTTTTGTCGGTGATCTTACTTTAAAATGACTGTTTCCACCGTATGGGACTGACTTTGCAAAAAACGATACAGGAAGTCAAAATTATTAGGTGGACGTGAGTAATCTTGACAGATTATTTCTACATTTCGTTAAAAACTTCTAGAGTTTCTAGAATATATAATTTAAAACTTTTCTTTTCTACATTTCGCAATTTTAAAAGATCTTCTTGTGTGTGAGTGTGACCTGAATAGTACCTACACATACCGTCTTTGCAAATTGCAAAGTTTTACTTTAAGTTGTCGATTACAACTTTTAGTTCAACTCAAGTTGAACATAAAAATATGGTGGAGGTGCCCGCCATGCATACTATCCTGTGAAAAATCTCAAATTGGTAAAGTTTTACATACTACATCGTGTACGTAGATTAAAGCGGTAAGTTTATACATTAATCTACAAAACGAAGCAGATGAAATTTTGGTTACAATACCTGTATATGCAGTAGTTTGTGTTTTAAGATAATATAAAGAAAAATCATATAAGGATTTAAATGTTTTTTTAATTATTAT